CTCCTGCTCGTTCAATTCACATTCTGAAAACAAAACTAAGCCTTTATTAACTGGCTAAAAATAGTGCCTGTTCATTCTCAGTCTTTGAAATACATTTCTCTTTGAAAAATGGTCCACGTTAATCCATCATAAGACCATTCTATAAGGTATTCAATTTGTGGTCTCTTAAAACCAATTAAATGATACTTGTAATATCTAAAATCAGTTCTAAAAACTATTATTACCAATTTGATGGATGGAACATGTTGAATGTCAAGGAAAGATGGTATCTTTCAGTTCTGTCTTAGTGGCAAAGGGGGTCACTTCAAATACCATGTGTGAGACAGTTCTGAAGTCTAGAGTACTGTATGTGGAATGTGTTCAATTTTGCTTCTCATAAATAAAAATCTTGCAGATGCTAATATTGGATTAACGCCCTAATAACACTGAAATTAATTGCTGTATGTTTATATGGTATTACGTTAAAATTGTTATTGTTTTTGTATTTGATGTACATAAACCTACACAAGTACAGAGCTTTAATAGTACCCAGTATATAAAGTTTACATATTTTCTTATAACTGAATAAAATTGTATGCTATCTATTTTTAAAGTTAATTGAGTAATGTTCAAGTATTACTTATTCTGAAATATACTGTAATAGTATATGTGATGTATTCTGTCATTTTTTAAATTTGTTTTTAATTTTTCATTCTTGCATTTTTCCTGCTAAGCTTATTGTTAATTAAAAAGTCAGATGTTTATAGAATTTTCCATGAGTAGGAAAAAACATATTATGTCTCATTTGACTCTCCTATTAATTAAATCCCTTTAAACTGGGAAAAAAAGGAAATGGGTAAAGTGTTGAGCACTGTATGTGGGTGAGACAAGAACTCCAAGATGGTTAATAAAACTAATTTGTAAAAGGTTATGGCATCAAGAAGAATCCTGTAGTTTTTATAAGTCAGTCACAGCCTTTCACATTTTGTATTGCTATTTAATATTAATTCCTTTGCACTTCATGTCATCTGCCGAAAGTTTGACCAGTTTTGCATTTTATCTAAATCTTTTTTTTATTCCATTTGTTATTTTTACAATGTTTGCTGATCCTCCTATGTTGGTTATGACCTGCAGACTAATTCGCCAAATACTGTATACCAAATCATTAAAGAGCAGTGATCCTAGTACTGATCCCTGTGGTGCTCCACTGAGTACATCACCCTAGTTTGTGCATTGAGCCGTATGCAGTCAATCCGTTAAACTGTTCTCAATCACAAAACTGTTCTCAGTCACCACACCGTCAGAGTCTCCCCAGTGCTATGAATGTCCAGCCCTGGTCACTAGACCATCTGGGAATCTCAGTGCTGTGAGCGATTCTATTTACGATGTCCGTGGTGTTTTACAGACAATGTAGTGTAGCAAATAAAATATCATAATATAAATAATACATTTTATTCAACTTTGTGGGTCCTCAGTAGAGTACTCTCAACATTTCAGAGCTGGATAAATTTGTCTGCATTTCTAAATTTCAGCACTAAATGGATAGGAATATAAATAAACGGGAACAGAGCGCAGGGCTCAAGAAATGAAGACTGAAAATACTTCTGCACCCAGACAGCTTGTTATGTGATAAGCCTGAGCTGATGCCACCTCCCCAGACTTGTGTGACGTGACACTTGAGTCAGGAAATGAAAGGATGTTGAATTTCTACTGCTGTGATCCGCGTCCTTAGCCTAAGCAGTCTCATATTAGGGCTGCCAGTTGTCTCCTATCAAAAACAAGTAATTAAATTCTTCCATAGACAGTGGTGTAAACCCTGCAACCTTTGAAATTTGTCTTTTTATTCACCTAAAGTCCAAGTAATAATGATCACCAAGCAGCACAACTTGGATTCTTAGTGATTGACTTGTGGAGTCAAGAGAGGAGAGGAGCAGACATCGGGGGGGATATTTTTGTGTGGGAATCCAAACATCTTGTGGGAGAAGGGTTGGCAGGAAATTCTGTGCAATAACCACGCTGAGCAACATCAATAAAAGCAAAGGAGAACCAGATGATTTGCAGAAGTAGTTAAAACTTCATTGAAAGCAATAATTGAGATAAATCCGCATAACTGGAACCATTAATACCTATAAATGAAGAGGAGTTCTGACATGAGGCCTAGTAAGCACTTACTGTGCAGATGGTAATAAAACCAGATACAGGCAAATAAAGGCTCGTTCATCTCTAAATGCCCTAACTTCTTTAGTGGTCAGTGTTGCTTCTTAAACACCCCCGGGGTAATCGGTGGTACTTTGATCAGATAATTTCTTGGAAATTAGGTCCCACAGCAGTGCATCTATGTGGAATGAGGAGCCATTAATTTTAGATGTTGAGTTTGCCATGCTATGATTTAGCTAATAACAAAAGAAGGAGAAGGGTGAGGGTGCAGATGTAGGGATAATTTATCAAAATGATTAAGGTCCTCACGTCGCACCTTTTCTATTTATAGACGTTATGATCTGTGTCTTTACTAAAGCCCAGTGACAAGAGTCTGAAAAGTGCCTGGGCTGTCCTGCACGTGGACTGTAGCCAGCTGTTAGCAAAGGAAGGCCTGCAGGCAGCAGAAGAAGGTGTTGTGGTCACATGCGATCTAATAAAATGGGGTTTTAGAATGTAAATTCATATATGATCTCTTTTCAACTCCAGTTCATGAAGCCGGTACTTGTCTGCAGACGTTATGTTCTAAGAAATTATTATTAGTTTTTAAATAACATAGAGGCAAGAGGTCATACCCATGATTAATTGCATGGCAGCATAGTCTGTTTATAATAACTGATTAATAACTGATCTTTTTATGGGTCCTTCACCGATAACGTGTGTTTGTTAGACACTTGTGGTGGTAAAAGGTTTTCCATTATACAGACCGCTTTTTGGTGCTTTAAATTGCCATAATGGCAACACAGAAGTGTGCATGATCTCCGTGTCTCTGTGGGTTTTCTCTAGGTGCTCTGATTTCTCCCATCTCCTAAATACATATCAGCTCTGCTAGCTGGTGCTTCTGACTTGTCCCCTGTGTACATCTGTGAACTCTGGGATGAAGTGGCATCCCATTCAGGGTGTGTGTGTCCTGTCTGGTGCCCTATCTTTTCAGGATAGGAACTGGGTTGCTTTCTGCTAATGGAGGGATGCTTTGACATGATTCTGACAGAACAGGAAAAGAAGAGTCTGGTGCCAAGACCAGAAGCTGAAACAGAGCAATTATGGATGTGTAAAAATATATTTGTTGATGTTGTTTTTGTTGTATTGTTGTGGATGTATGGAAGATGCCCATTGCAGCGATTTTACTCTAACAGGCTTGGTGTGACCATTAGCATTTAATGTGACTGGCACCTTCTACATTGTGTTGAAGTTTTGATTTTTATTTGCTTTTTTATTGCCTCAAACTAATGTATCCCCCTCCTCTACCTGCACAATAATGAAACTCTACTGTTGCTTGCTAGTCATGCTTACTGTATAGTAATGTGCTTTCATGCATGTGTTTGACAAGATTAATTCTGTTCCAGAGGATCTGTTAAGTGGAATTTGCTTTAGGAGTGAAGTGGATTGGCACCGTATTAGACACTAACCTAAAGATTTTCACAACCAAGGAGCTCGGAATGGGGTTCAAGAGCACAGTGCCCTGCTAGTCCTTGAACCCAGCTCCTGAGTAGATTCCTTATCTTCACCTGCAAGACTGTGAGATGCAGTACATGCCGGTACCATACCGCACACTCCCACCTCTCCGCTCCAGCCTGTGCTTCTGTGGGTCTGATATCTTTAGATGCTCTTTAACGTGCAAACCTGGAATTTAGCTCCATGTTCCCACTCTGCACACACAAGCCAATGGATCTGCATTGCAACAATTTTTGCCCTTGAGTCCCCTACTCTATATAATCAATCTTGTTTAAACAAAATATTTCTACCAGTATTAATATGTTATGTACAGCAGTATATGAATGGAATATACTTGCCCATCTCCTGGCCAGCACCGAGGGGGCGTGTTGAATTTGGTAGTGTTCCAGTGAGCTTGCTTTCTGTTTAGATCACCTCCTTTTGCAGCCCGAATAACACAGTAGTCCAGGTTTGTGTCTGTTCTGTTGAGTGTAACAGATGAGTTTCTTATGATACAAACAGTGACAACAGTGATAAATCTCACACTCCCCTGGTCTCTAGGGTCAAAGTAGCTGTACTTTCTTCACATGTATTCCATTTTATTTACCCTGAGGTCTTTTGAAAAATTAATTGCACTCAGGTAATGCAGTGTAAGTCACATCCAGACTCTCCTATTGTAATTACAGCCTTTGAATATTTGTTTGTCTCACCAGTAGTTTCTCATTTTCCATTTTTGTTGTTTTTGTGTGGGTCTGTGCTGGGGGGAGGTGGGGGTTGTGAGAGTAGCAGTTACCCATTGATTAGCGACAACACTGATAACAAGCAGTATGCAGCGTATAGCACACTAAGAGGGCAGTCAAATTTCAATAAATACAGTGTGTGAAATGAACTGATAGTGGTACAATTAGCCACAAGTTCTCCGTGTGTGTGTAAATAGACTTAGTCGTGTGACACCACCTCTTTAATGGATATGTTCGATGACTCATTATAACCCGTTCCTCCTTGTGCGCCCTTTTCTTTTTCTGTGTTACCAGGCAGCAGTGGTTGATGTTCGGTATGGAACAGTGGACGACCTGATTCAGGCCCGCATCTCTGACAACGTTACCAATAAAATTGCACTGTTGAAACTAGGACATGCTCCTTTCCTTTACAAGGTAAGCGTCGCAGGAAATTACAAGCCCATCTATTCTTACCTCTGTCAATTCTCCGTGGGGGATAAGAAAATACAAAGAGATAGTGCACAGGAACCCCAGAGGATGAGCCATGGGATTTTTCCATCGGGGTTGACATAAGCCAAAGATTTACTGACTCTATTAAATTAATAGCGGGAAGGAGATCTATAAAGACACGTTTCTGATATCCGGTTTCATATTGCAGTTATCTATCAGTGGTGGGGGTTTGTGGGGCTCTGCAGAGCCAGCACCACTGTGATGTCATCAGTATATAGTGCCTTGCTTGCTGCACTGACAGAGTGTAAACAGGGGGGTAAAGAACTGAAGGAGTTTGAACTCTTACAATTTTAAGAGTTTAGAATAATACTGTAGGAACATATTTACTGGACTGGTAACAATAGCTCATGAAACATAAAAAGTCCTGCATTAGTGGATTTAGCTTCTTATTTTATAAATAATTATCTAAGAAGCAAAAAAAATAGATGCAAATTTTATTGTATTGTATTGCGTAATAATATCGCTTTATCATTAAGTACACTTCTCCCTGCCTCTTCCTTTTTCCTTTTTTCATTTGTGTTCTTTTTATATTAAATGTCTTTTCAAAGCTGGGCCTTTTTGGCATTTAATTCATCTTTGGTCTATTTAGGCTTCAAAACAAAAACACCTGGAGAAGAAAAATAAACAAGCTAGCAATGTACTCCTGATTTGTCATGGCAGAACCCGTAACCCTGAATCTTTTATTATTGCAAAACAAATAACCCTCACCTCAGAGGTCCCAAGAGAGGATGCTCTGAATTGTCCTACTCCTTTAAATAACCCTGATTAGTCCTTCATGTCAGCTCCTCTCGGTGTAGTCACTTTAATTGTGGCCAGATCTAGGCCAGGCACTGAAACGCAATCATTCTAATTATAATGGATTACTGCAAAGGTCACAATAGTACAGCAATATGAGTGTGAGCTTCAGTAAAGCTTTGAGCATTATCAGATTCAAATATCTCCCGAAGCCACTGGCTTGTCATTCAAGGACTCCTGCTGCAAGGATGAAAAGACAGAGCGTGTTATAGAAAGGTTATGTTCCATCAGATACAGTGGGGAAGCTGCCTATTTTCATGAAGATAAGATCCACAAAGGTAAAAAAAGGAAAGAAAATTGATTATTGCTTTATTTTCAGTATATATTTTTTTCACATTCTGGCACATTTAGTGTTTTAGGCATATGGGACCTAAAGAAAAGCCTACTGAGAAATTAATGGGGAAAAACCTCTCTTCTCCTCCGGTGTACTGAGCCCAAACAGACTGCAAGGCAACTGTACACCATGTTTAGACATTTACATGTATATGATCATGTCTGGATTATTATCCTTGATGAAATACAGTATATCCAGCTTCAGTATCTCCACACTTCATAAACCAATTAAACAATGTAGTACTACAGTATACTGTACATACCAGTGCAGCTGTGATAATGACAATGGGTTTTTTTTGTTTCTTTTTTGAAGATACATTAGCGAACCTTTTGAAAAAAATGAAAACGAGTGCTGATAATAAAGTAAGCTGGCCTTTGCAGACAGCTGTGTGCTGAAGCCTGCACTGTGCAGTAATGAAACTGGGAAGAAAATTAAACTGTGGCAAACACAACTGTCCATGAGAGGGCACACAGTTCATGTATCCTGTGCCCCCCTGTTGTGAGATTTTGGTGACTTATAGCCTTTTTGAACAGGGAAATGCCTGCAAAAAGATATCCCAAAGCATAAATACAGTACCTTATTAGTAAGATAATTATTAGATGAGATAATTATGTAAAAAAACACTTCTTTCTTAATTGAAGGAAGAGTCAGAGTGAGCTGTTTAAACATTGCATTTGAAAATTGTGTGTTTGTCAGCACTGTGTCACAGAATTGCGGACATTTATTTGTTCTAGAAATTACAGCGTCGCTGTTTTCAACACCGTGGCTTGTCAGCGACTGGAGTCTGTAGGCTTTGGACTCCCGTGTCTTTTTCACCCCTTCTGGGGGCAGATTCCTCTACTCCAGGCACTACATGGACTGTAGCGACAGAGGTACTGCGCCTCTCTTGATCGTTTCCAGCAGGTTAGGAGGAACAACGTGAACATCAGAGTTAACAGGACATTCTCTTCCTCTGCCACAGGCACTGTCCCTCCACGGGCTTCGCTTCTTCTGCCACTCCTCCTCTCCAGACAAAAAAGGTTCAGAAAATACATACTGTACAGCACCTGTTTGTGCAATTCATACAACTTTCAAAGCAGTCTTTCGCAGAAGAGAACACATGTCCAGTATCAATTCTTTCCTTAGATCCTGCATTTTCAATTAAGCCTGTTATGAAAAACGACTAATGGCTGATAAATGAAGACAGCTCTCACAAACGTGCCGAGCGTGTCATGAGGCATGAATATGAGGGTTTTCAGCGGTGCCCTCTGGCCTGTAGCTCAGCCATGAATGAATCCTACAGCCCATCTGTGATTTCTCTTCAGGGGGCACACAGCCTCCTAGGAAAAGTGCAGAAGAAAAAGTAGCATCAAAATAATAATAATGGAAACCATGTTGTAGAAATGTATAATGTTTTATTTGGCCAAATGTTTAAGGAGCGATTAGTTAGAAAGAATTATCAGAAAATTATCGTTATTTTTTTCTTAGAGCAGATTGTCTATCACTTCTGTCACGTCAGAGATTAGTGTGAAGTGCTCACACTATGCCTCTGGTATAGTGTTCGTCCCATCCACAGACACATCCACATTAAACACATCCCACTCGGCTTGTGCTTCGCTAACTGGTCACCCACATGCCGCAGTGTGGGCTTATAGACACCTGCCTTTTTTAGGAACAAAGATCCCCCTGTGTGTTTGTCAAAATAACACTGAGACAATACTGACCTGAAAGTCCAGGTTGAGCTTCTTAAAAATATCAATCTTTCTTTTTAACAAGGATAAAAACACAAAACCATGAAAATGGAGAAGCAGCATTTCAGAAGTTATATAACTGTTCAGACAAGGATCAGAGCTTAGATTACATTTTTTAGAGTAACGTTTTTGGTGTCTTGAGAGGATAGAACTAATTATGGTCTTTTTACTGAAAACTGAGTGTCAGATTTCAAATGCCACCTCTGATCGGCGACACTACAGAATTTTCGCCTGTTGTGAACAAAGCATTTTCATTTGCATAGTGATCTGTGATTTAATTTGTTATTCACCATCTGCATAATTTAGAGCTGTTGTTTAATAAGCATCCCATTTTCAGGGTTTCTTCTGAATAATATTCGTATTCCAATTTAGCATAAGTGGATGAAACAATTTCACCCTTCCTTTATTAACTACCTCACGGGATTATGCTGCTTGCTATGTAAATGCTACTCTTTCATGTGCGTGCTTTCCTACATATTTGAAGTTCACCTTTGTTGTTCTTTATACAGTATATGGCAGGGTTTGCTACTACTTGAAATAATGCGTGGATCACTTCCACAGCTCTGTAGCACAGGCATGTTTGGGCATGGAATATTATTTATTGTGTCAAGTCATATTGCACTGAATTAGTGTTGCTTGCTGGAAAGACACCATAAAATAACAAGAAACAATTTTAAATTCAGTATTTATTACTCTTACTAAATAGGGCTATCTCTTAGTGTATCCATTTAACAGACATTTATGGGGTACTAATTACTAGAACCAGAATGTTTCATGCAAATTACAGAATAGCTCTAAGATATATTTAGACAATTTACCAGCTCTTTCATATTCAAAACTAAAATTAATCCAGATCTCATCTGTGTGTAAGCCTTGAATACTAATTTAGTGCTTCTAAGCTCATTTAGGAAATTGCTTGAAGTTTTCATTTATTTAGAACCTTAGCTTAAATGTTAAAATATCACTATGAAAATCAATTATTTGTCTCTGATCTCATGAATTCCATGTGCCCTGTAATGTTTTTTAGACTGCAATTTTCTTATTTCAAATACTGTAAATTGTTTTTTTATATATATAAATGTGCTCTGTGTGTGGTTCATCTTTCCATCTGTTTGCTACATTTAGTGAATCCCACTCTTCTTATACCACACAAAATAACTTCCATTCTTTAAGAAAAAATCTGTTTTGTAAATCACTGTGAGGGGATATTGTGAACAGTAGCTGTTCCTGCTGATCTGCTGTGCTGACAGGGGAGTAACTGCCCTGTGCATCAGATGAATGTGTTCACAGGTCTGGCACACTGGCCACTGGCTCACACAAGCAGGAAACCCAGCACTGCGCAACATACAGAAGGCTTCTTTAATTAAATACCCTTTGCTGTCTCTACATGCACTGGTGACACACATTCAATTAGTTCAAAGTACATGAAATCTGTCCTTTAGGCCAGATTAATGGAATAAAATAATCTGAGACCGCACACACACTCTTCTGTCTCTCCTGATACCCAAGAAAATATTTTTCATTTAACACTCATGTATTGAACTATGTCTACATACTGTATTTGCGGAAAAGGTAATTGGTATTTATGGTAAGAAAGAGTGAAAAATACCCAGAAGACTTTTTTATTAACTTTACAGAACAATACAAGAAACACATAAAACCCCAGAGACTAATTTACATTTTTTTCATTATCCAGTTGGCGAGGACATGGCTCAGGTCCATTTTAAAATAAAATTCTTAATTATTCATTTGGACACATCTTTGTTTTTGTGAAGTGTGTTGGTTTAGTTCATCTTGTGTTGAAAACAGCTTTATTCTGTGCAAACACCCAGCATGCAATACTAGACGGGGTTATTTGAGTATATTAAATTTTTCAAGCGTGTGGGCTCACCCAGAGAGATTAAATCTAACGTATAGTATATTGAGGAAATCTAAGGAGGGCTTTTTTTCTGAAACCATGCAGATACCAGCTCAGAGTCAAGATCAGTGTTGCAGTGAAGATGATGCACAGCTGCTGGAGTCATTGAAAGAAATTTATTCACGGCACCCTTTAAACAAACACTAAT